GCTTTGTAAGTGCAATGAGCTGCAATAATTATTTTTAATTATCTAGACAATATACTCTAACATGTATCTCCAAATCTCAGCCTGCCACTCCTAGAAGCCCATGAGATGAACTTTTAAATCAAGTGCCTTTAGAATGTGAAAGGGCCTCCAACCTCAAGTATTCATTTATTGATTCATTTACTAACCACTATGGGACAGTCATTGTGAGAAACGCTGAGACTATCAAGTTGAAGGGTGCCTGTGATTGGAGGTCCACAGTCTATGAGACGAAAAAGACATAAGCATAGGTAAGTGCTCTAAGGTCCTCCAGACACTAGATTAGGGGCACAGGAGAGTCCTGAGTCAGCGCACTCCTATAAGATGTTATTTGAAGAGACCTTTTAATGATGGAACTACACAGAGTTACGGGCATGGTTAAGGACATCTACAAGGGATGTTGAAGGACCCAGGACAAGCAACAGTTATCATCATAGGTTTAGAGAGTCAGAGGAAGAAAAGAATATTACTGGAGCCCAGCTGAGAGCTAGATCTAGAAATGAAGGGCCAATTGACAAAAAGCTACATAGTAAAGGTGGCAACTGTAGCCAAACGTTCACCATAGCAGGAAGGGAGCTGGAATAAATATCCCATCATCTTTCTCTTCTCCTCTCAGATCTCTTGCCAAGTATCCCATCGAACAACACAAGTGGTGGCCAAAGAGCAAGGGAATTGGGTGATACCATGCATAGATTTCATAATCTCAGGGAATGGACCAGGGCATGGAAGTGCAGAGAATAATGGGGGCAGATGTAGAATAATCAGCACAGAATTCCCAGAAGAAACTTCTTGGTTCTACTTGGAATGGTCTCCGAGGAAAAGACACTGTATTAGTTTCCCGGGGTTTCTGTAACAAATTATGACCAACTGCAGGTTTTAAAACAAGAGAATTATTTCTCTCACAGGTCAGGAGGTCAAAAGCCAGCAGAGCCATGCTTTCTCTCAAGTCTCTTAGGGAAGAATCCTTTCTTGCCTCTCTTCCCACCCTAATCCAACAGGACTTCATCTTAACCTGACCAACTGTGTCTAAAGTGAAAGAAAGTGTCAGTCCCTCAGTCTGGTCTGACTCCGTGTGACCCCATGGACTGTAGCCCACCAGGCTCCTCTGTCCAGGGAATTCTCCAGCTTTCTTTATGGTCCAACTCTCACATCCATACATGACTACTGGAAAAACAATAGCTTTGACTACATGGACGTTCACTGGCAAAGTAATGTCTCTGCTTTTTAATATACTGTCTAGGTTAGTCATAGTTTTTCTTCCAAGGAGCAAGTGACTTTTAATTTCATGGCTACAGTCACCATCTGCAGTGATTTTGGAGACCAAAAAAATAAAGTCTCTCACTATTTCCATCGTTTCCCCATCTATTTGCCATGAAGTGGTGGGACTGGATGCCATGATCTTAGTTTTCTGAATGTTGAGCTTTTAGCCAACTTTTTCACTCTTATTTCACTTTCATCAAGAGGCTCTTTAGTTCTTCTTCACTTTCTGCCATAAGGGTGGTGTCATCTGCATATCTGAGGTTATTGATATTTCTCCTGGCAATNATTCCAGGATGTCAGGCTCTAGGTGAGTGATCACACCATCATGGTTATCTGGGTCATAAAGATCTTTTTTGTATAGTTCTTGTGTATTCTTTCCACCTCTTGTTAATATCTTCTGCTTCTGTTAGGTCCATACCATTTCTGTCTTTTATTGTGCCCATCTTTGCATGAAATGGGCCCTTGGCATCTCTAATTTTCTTGAAGAGATCTCTAGTTTTCCCATTCTATTGTTTTCTTCTGTGTCTTTGCATTGATCACTGAGGAAGGCTTTCTTATCTCTCCTTGCTATTCTTTGGAACTCTGCATTCAAATGGGCATAACTTTCCTTTTCCCCTTTCCCTTTAGCTTCTCTTCTTTTCTCAGCTATTTGTAAGCCTTCCTCAGACAGCCATTTAGCCTTTTAGCATTTCTTTTTCTTGAGGATGGTCTTGATCACTGCCTCCTATACAATGGCACAAACCTCTGTCCATAGTTCTTCAGACACTCCTCTATCAGATCTAATCCCCTTGAACCTATTTCTCATTTCCACTGTATCATCATAAGGGATTTGATTTAGGTCATACCTGAATGGTCTAATGGTTTTCCCTACTTTCTTCAATTTAAGTCTGAATTTGGCAATAAGGAGTTCATGATCTGAGTCACAGTGAGCTCCCAGTCTTATTTTTGTTGACTGTATAGAGCTTCTCCATTTTTGGCTGCAAAGAGTATAATCAATCTGATTTCGGTATTGACCATCTGGTGATGTCCATATGTAATCTTCTCTTGTGTTCCTGGAAAAGGGTGTTTGCTATGATCAGTGCATTCTCTTGGCAAAACTATTAGCCTTTGCCCTTCTTCATTCTGTACTCCAAAGCCAAATTTGCCTGTTACTCCAGGTGTTTCTTGACTACCTACTTTTGCATTCCAGTCCCCTTTGATGAAAAGGACATTTTTACTGGGTGCTAGTTCTAGAGGGTCTTGTAGGTCTTCACAGAACCATTCAACTTCAGCTTCTTCAGCATTACTGTTTGGGGCATAGACTTGGACTACTGTGATGTTGAATGGTTTGCCTTGGAAACAGAGATCATTCTGTCATTTTTGAGATTGCATCCAAGTACTGCATTTCAGACTCTTTTGTTGACTATGAGGTCTATTCCATTTCTTCTAAGGGATTCTTGCCCATAATAGTAGATACAGTGGTCATCTGAATTAAATTTGCCCATTTTAGTCCATTTTAATACTGATTCCTAAAATGTTGATGTTCATTCTTGCCATCTCCTGTTTGACCACTTCTAATTTACCTTGATTCATTGACCTAACATTCCAGGTTCCTATGCAATATTGCTCTTTATAGCACTGAACTTTACTTCCATTACCAGTCACATCTACAACTGGGCTTTGTTTTCACTTTGTCTCTGTCTCTTCAATCTTTCTAGAGATATTTCTCCACTTTTCTCCAGTAGTGTATTGGGCACCTACTGCCTAGGGGAGTTCACCTTTCAGTGTCCTATTTTTTTGCCTTTTCATACTGGTCATGGGGTTCTCAAGTCAAGAATACTGAAGTGGTTTGCCATTCCCTTCTCCAGTTGACCACGTTTTGTCAGAATTCTCCACCATAACGCATCCATCTTGGGCGGCCCTACATGGCATGACTCATAGTTTCATTAAGTTAGATAAGACTGTGGTTCATATGATCAGTTTGATTAGTTTTCTGTGATTGTGGTTTTCATTCTGTCTGCTCTTTGACAGATAAGGATAAGAGGTTTATGAAAGTTTCCTGATGGGAGAGACTGACTGTGGGAGAAACTGGGTCTTGTTCTGATGGGCAGGACCATGCTCAGAAAATCTTTAATCCAATTTTCTGTTGATGAGCAGAGCTCGTAGGAATTTTTAAATGTAGAAAGGTAGAAAAAGCTTGGTATCTTTGTGAGAGTTCATCTAAATTGGTCTGAGTATGGTCTAAAGGGAAATGATGTTGTGAAATCACTTTTATAAAAGACAGGAAGGGACAGTGACTCTAGGGTCAAACAGGAGGGAGTCAGGAGGCAACGCAAATTTGAAGAGGTGTAGGAAAAAAAACTGCTTTTCTAAGTCTAACCAGAAAGTCACCATCTGTTTGTAGGGAAGTGAGGAATAGTCTGGGGGACCCTCTGCCAGAGACCGAAGTGGGAAGTCCAATTCTCAGAAGAGTTGCATAGTGTAAATGTCCCTGGACTTAGGAAGAAATACTTTTACTTTGAACTGTTGAACTCTAGGCTAAGATGCTGCAACCAGACAAAAGATGTATCACCAAACACAGTGGGAAAGCTGTCTCATGCCACAGCCTGGTTAAGGACAATGTCACTCGAGCAAGTAAGGACACCTCATTAAGCTCAGAGAAAGGTGTTAACAGGTTTCCACAGATTTCTCCTCCCTTGGGACTGGCCTGACAAGACAATATAATAGGGATCAAACAGTGTTCAACCCATTAGGTTACATTTCTTTAGCAATAGTTAGATGGAAAATATGAGGTTGAACATAGGCCAGAGTATTCAATATGTTTATTAGAACTACATGATAAATAAATTTCCCAATATCTAGTGAAGTATCTCCATAGCAGAGAGCAATGACATTTAGCATGGATTTCCAAAGTGTTCCTTGGCTACTCAGCCATGCCCTGGGGAGCAGAAGAGAGTAGAAGGGAATGTACATATAGATCAAGGTGAAGGGTGGATTTCCAGGTAAGATCTTCTGTTGACAAATGGTATTGCAATGACACTTGTTTAGAGAATTACAAGAGATGATTCTCCCACCGCCTCTGCCACTTAGAAATTCTATAACCACAAGCTGCTCACTTTACTTCTTTATGCTGCCATGTAGCCACTTTCATATTCACTTGCTGTAACAAATTATCTGTCTCTGGACTAGTATCAGAACTATGCCTGTTTTGTTCTCTATTGCACATTGGTTTCATAATTCCAGGTATAGAGTAGATGCTAAGCAAGGATTTGTTGAACAAATAAGTAAATTAGTGATTCTAGCATTATCTGGGACTGGGTGATTCAATGCCAGTTTCTAGGTTAGTGATCTTAGAAATCAAACCACAAAAAACCTAATTCAATTTATGATGCTCTGAATGGCTCTTTGGTATCTTGAAAGGCCTCTGATCATTGAAATAAACAAACACAACTGACTGGCAAAAAATAATATGGATCCACAAACTCTTCTCCACCAGTATATCCTGCCCCCACCTGCCTCCCCAGGCCTCTAGAGATAATTCCTTAAATGAAAAAGTTGGATTTGCCACATCTTAAAATCCTATGTGCCAGGCTCTTGTTTATTTTTTCTCCCTCAAACAGTTATTAGGAAAATTAAAAGAAATGCAGAAAAGTAGAAAGAAAAAGTATAGTTTTATAGTATTAGAGATACATGGATGACAGACGATCAGAATAAGCAGCTTAGAAAGTGTCATTGAGGTAAAACTTTAGGAAAGATGCCATGAAATGAGATGAATACATCCAGACAAGGCCACTTGAGGTTAACTCTCCTGGCAGGTGGATCAGCTAACAGAACCACAGCCTGACTCCATAATGAATAGAAGCTCAGAAAGTATTTCTTATGAAGGACCATCACTTTCAGAATTTTCAAAACCTTGAATGTGAAGTAATTCAGATTTCTGGCAGTCAGCTTAAAAAACTGTCTTCATGCTTTACAATGGATGAATAAGTGAATTGATGAATAGGATGCTGGTTGTGGTGTAGAAAATACAGAGAATAAAGGGCTCGTTGGCAGTGGCTCAGAGGCCAGATCTAAAAGGAGAAATCAAAGGGGCAAAGAGGTAAGAAGTAGTGTGGGGAAGAGGCTAAAGTGAAATGTGAAGCCAGAAAGCCTCATGTTTAGATGATTCACTGTACTGGTGGAGTGGCCTTGGATTACATGATTAAATCTGAAACGGGCTTCTCCTCTGCACAACAGAAGTGACCCATGCATGTCCCTAGCACACACTCTCCTGGTCATTTGGAGAAAGGATGAGACCATATAAGATCCCCTGGAGAAGGAAACAGCAACCCACTACAGTGTTCTTGCCTGGGAAATTGCATGAACAAAGGAGCCTGGTGGGCTGCAATCCATGGGGATGCAAAGAGTCAGACATGGCTAGTGACTAAATAATAATAACAACAATCATTTTACCTTTTTTTAGCAGCTTTATTGAAATACCTTTGACATATACAACTGACCCATTTAAAGTATTCAGTTTAATAGTTTATAGCATAGTCACAGAGTTATATGACCATCACTATGATCAATTTTAGAAGATTTTCATTGTCTAAAAATGATGCCCTATGGGACAAATTGAGAGAATAGCATTGCCATATATACACTGAAAGTGAAAGTCACTCAGTCTTGTCTGATTCTTTGCAACCACATGAACTATACAGTCCGTGGAATTCTCCAGGCCAGAATACTAGAGTGGGTAGCTGTTCTCTTCTCCAAGGGATCTTCCCAACTCAGGGATCAAACCCAGGTCTCCCACATTGCAGGCAGATTTTTACCAGCTGAGCCACCAGGGAAGCCCAAGAATGCTGGAGTGGGGAGCCTATCCCTTCTCCAGTAGATCTTCCTGACCCAGGAGTCCAACCGGGGTCTTCTGCATTGCAGGTGGATTCTTTACCACTGGGCCACTGGGGAAGCCCCCTTGTATAAAATAGCTAGCTGGTGGGAAGCTGCTGCATAGCACAGGGAGCTCAGCTCCATGCTCTGTGATGACCTAGAGGAGAGGGCTTGGGGCTGGGAGGGAGCCTCGGGAGGGAGGGGATGTATGTATACATATAGCTATTCACATTGTTATAGAGCAGAAACTAGCAGCATTGTAAAGCAACTATACTCCAATTAAAAATAAATAAATCAAAGTAAAAGTAAATAAGATGAAAAAAATACCCTATAACTATTAGCAGTCATTCTCCCATTCCATTCTTCCCATCTCATATACACATGCAGACACACACACCATCACCACCACCCCCAGCCCTAGGCAACCACTAATCTACTGTACTTTCTGTCTAGAGATTCTCCTATTCTGAACATTTCATATAAGTGAGTTAATACAATAAGTGGTCTTCTGTGACTGGATTCCTTCACTCAGCATCATTTTCAAGGTTCAGTCACATTTTAGCATGAACCACAACTTCATTCATAGCTGATTTATCAACTAATAATCTTCCTTTCAGGGATATACCACTCTGACCACTCGTGAGTTGATGAATATTTGGGTTGCTTGTATTTTTGCTATTGTGAATAATGTTGCTATGAAAATCTGTCACCAGTTTTTGTGTAGACTTATGTTTTCATTTCTCTTGAGTGCGTACCTAGAAACGGAATGGCTGGATCCTGTGGTAACTCTATGTTTAACATTTTGAGGAACAGCAAGCTTCTTTTCCAAGCATCTGCACCTTTTTGCAATTTTACATTTACAGCGCCTTTGAAGAATGCCCAGAAGATCAGTATTCCTGAAAAGAGTGGGCAGTGGGAGGAGTAGAATTAGAAAAAAATCCATAACAGGGGTCATCAAATAGGTCACTACAGGCTATTGGGAAAATTTTATTTTTACTCTCAAAAAGGTTCAAAGCCATCAGAAGATTTTGATCACGAGTGTCATGTGATCTAAGTAACATTTTAGCAGGACTTTCCTGGAAGTGTGTTTAGAGCAGACTGAAAGGGGAAGGGATTGGAGCACAGGCTTGTTACTGGTTATGACGGTGACCAACATGAGGAATGTTGATGGCTTGGACCAAAAGAGATGGAAAGAAACATGACTGGAGTCTGAATATATTTGGAAGGTAGCACTTAGTTTCTCTAATAAAGCCGAGAATCATTTTATACCTACTTTTAGTCTGCATCCAAAATGTGATTGAGATTTTATTGATATTCTACTAAATGTACTGAATTGGAAGGGATTCACTGAATTTATAGATTAACTTGGAGGACATCTGCTACAATACGGTTCTCCTGCATGGACATTTATTCCCATCTTCTTTTATGACCACAGTAAAGGTTTGCCGTTTTCCTCATATAGGTAGGTCTGTAAATTTCTTTTTAAGATCTTTTTTATGAGAGGGGGGTGTGTGTATGTATGTCTAATAGGCTATGACTGATTTAGAGAAAAATACAGACTTTTGTGTGTTTATTTTTTTAACTGGCTATTTTACTCAGCTCTCATTAGCCCTAATATTTTTTCAGCAGTATACTTATATGCCAAGAAGTTTAATTACCTATTTCCATTATTTAGGCATGCTAGTTCTCTACCTAGGTAGGTGAGTTATGGTGGTAAAAAGGATTTGAAATTGATTTTATAGGCAAGGAAAGGTGGATGCTGGTGGTACATACTAGTGGAACTCCAGGATTTAGGGAGCAGCAAGGGAACACCAGGATAAGAGTGTGGTTGGGGTCAGGGAATGAAGGAAGGGAAGAATTCAACAGAAGGAAATTCTCACAAAGGTCCTGAAATGAAGACTTTAAGATATTTAAAGCAAACTTGCAATTGTAACAGGGAAGAACAAATCTGACTCCATATTAAATCTGTTCCTATAATTTTAATCCTTGTGCTTTGTTGCCTGTGCTAAATCATGCTGAGTCTGCACCTTTTGTAAAAGAATTTTGCCTATAGTCTGAAATATAGGGGATTGCCTATTCTCAGGGCTCTGACCTTTAAGAGTCCATTCATCTAGAGATGAAAAGTTGCAGAACAGAGAATAACATTTGCCTTGGAGGTTTATAGAAACATTGTGACCTGACCTACATGGACAGCTGCAAGAACAAAGAATTCCAACACCAAGAAGCTTGTAACAACTAACCATGCCCCTTCCACACTTTACCTTTAAAAGTGCTTTGCTGAAACCCTTTGAGAAGTTCATAGTTTTTGAGCATGAGCCACCAGTCGCCTTGCATGGCCCTGAAATAAACCTTTCTCTGCTCCCAAAGCTGGTGTTTCAGATGGTTTGGCCTCACTGTGAATCAGGTACATGAACTTGCATTTGGTAACAGGCTTATTTGATTTAACTTTATTAGGGAACTTGGAAGTTATGAGGCTGACAGTTTCATTGTATCTTTTCCAAAGTGGAAAAGAGACTTTTCCATGGCTGCAAGGTTAGTAGCTAAACCTGGACTAGAACACAATCCAGATTCCTTTCCATTCTCTCTGCACTGAACAGCAGTCACCCTCACAGAGGAGGAGCCAAGCCAACAGAAAGTCAAGAAGCGGAGTCTTTTGCCCCATCCCATCACTTCCGGTTGTGAAGAAGGTGGAATACTTTATACTCTCCATAGGGTGTTGGGTTGGAGAGAGAGAAGATGAGAGGGAGGGAAGGAAAACAATCTGCTAAGCCATCAATTGCTTACCGTTCTACAATGTTTGGACCTTGGAGAAAACCACTTTGCTGGGCCTCAACTATGATCACTTTAAAAATACTGGAATCATTTAAACTGGAAGCTGCATCCAGTTCACAGATGTGTTTTGTTTTTACTGGATTTGAAAACAATTTTAACTTTTTGACAGCATTTAGAAGTCATGAAAATTTACATAAAATCCAGAATTCTGGCTTTTCTTTGAAAATGTGAAGGTCTTTCAACACTGAGCCAAGTTGCTGCATATTGTCTATCATCTATGTGGAGAGTTATCACTCACCATCTGCCATCATTCTTACTTACTCATTTAGGTCACTCACCTTGCCTCCATGGGCTTTTCTAACATGATCTCACAATCTTTCTTGATCCAAGGTTCTGTGACTTTGTGATGCTCTGACTCCCAGCGCAGTCTTGGCAAATGCATCTCAAGTAAGGCTAACACACATGTCTGTCCCTCTGGATATGTCCACCTCTATGCTGTTTCAGGCTCAGCTGATTTCTCCACTTCCCCATTGTCTTAGCACACTTCCTATTCCTGAAGCCGAGGCCACTGGGTCTTGGCAGCACAACTGCAGAGCCTTCATTAGTCATTTGGATGTTCTCTATTTCACCCCTAAACTAAATGCCCTGGCTTCTGGCTTCTGCCTAGTATGACTTGGGAAGAAGGAAGTGATAGAACTGCCTTCCCTTGCTCCCTCTCAGAACAGATTCTTGTGATCTCTCTTTATCCCTCCATTCCACAAACACTGGGATAGTAAATGAGTCAGCAATAAATGACAGCCATTGTATATCTAAGGGAAAGAGCCCAGTGTTGACACTGGCTTCTCAGTCTGCTGGAGGCTCCTGCAGGGGTAGAAAAGAAATAAGCAGAGGAATCATACTAGTGAAACAGAGGCCAGTGTAATCTGACAGAGCCCCAGGAACAGCCCTGTCCAGGGTGTGACTAGGGGGAAATGAGACAATTTAGGAGCAAGAAGACAGGAGGAACTCATGCTGAAGAGTAGAGTTCCAAGCACAACTCTATAGTCTGGGAAAGGGTGAGAATCTTAAAGACATCTGGGCAAAGATAGGAAGGTGAAAAGCACATCAAGAGTACCAGGCTGAAGCAGTTATTGCAATAGGAGAAAATACAGTTATTGTATTGAATGTAAGATGATGTAATGTATTATAAGATGCAAATCTTAGCCATGAGGCCAAGGTACAAAAAGAAGTCAGTGTATTGGAGAATCACCGGGTAAATAGGTTGGGAATCACAATTAAGTCCCATGATGGCATCTCCTCTATGTTAAATTGACAGAGCTGACTGATGTGTTAGGTTTCATTGGGCTTCCCTGCTGGCTCAGATGGTGAAGAATCTGCCTCAATTCAGGAGACCAGGGTTCAATCCCTGGGACAGAAAGATCCCTAGAGAAGGGAATGGCAACCCACTCCAGTATTCTTGCCTGGAGAATCCTATGGGCAGAGGAGCCTGGCGGGCTACAGTCCAAAGTGTCACAAAGAGTCGGACATGACTGACCAAGTAACACACACTAGGTTTCACAGGGATCTGTAAATATTCCTAGGTTAGTTTGATACTGTGACTAAGCCTCAGCTCGGCATGAATTCTGTGACTTCCTTAATTTTCCATGTTCTTAAACTAATTTGATGTACATTCCTCCCAAAACTGTTTTTCCATTGTGTTCTCTTCAAGAATAATCACCTAATCCTCTAATCACCTAAATAGGAACGTGGTTTACCCTCCTATCTTCTCTCATTTACCATAATATCTCAAGTTACACAATTTTTGCCTTTCTTATGTTTATCAAACTTTCCCTTCCTTCAGGGAAGTCTCTATGTTACAGTGAAGAACTGACTCCACGTTGGATCTGTTTTTGTTCTAACTTTCCTTCCTGCTGCTTTCATTCACAAAAGGATACTGTGCACACATAATGGCTTGCCTTGGGAACCCTGCCCCTCTGTCTGAATGTTAAACCAAAATCCCTTTTTTTCAGGACCCTATCCACCCTTGGATGGCTACCAGAGGAAGAAATTGACACATCCCCTCCTCCAGGCTGGCCATTCCAGGAGACATTTGCAAGACCAATGTCCTCTTTACATTACTTCAATTCCCCTCTTCTCGTTCTATAAAAAAACTTGGCATCCAGACCCCAGTGAGATGGCTCTTTTGAGATATTAGTCTTCTACCTTTCAGTCAGCTAGCTTTTTGAATAGCCTTATTCCTTGCCTCAGCACCTCATCTCTGATTCACTGGCCTGTTGTGAGGTGAGCAGAGTGAGTTTGGACTCAGTAACATCTACTCTTATAAATTAAGCACTGAGTTTCATCATTTCTTATGGGAATTTCCCCAGTAGCTTTCTTACTCAAATCTCTGCCCCAAGTTTGTACCAAATCAAACCCTCCCTCTACACAGAAACCTGAATGACCTCTTGGAGGTGAAAATCTGATGTATTACTCCTAATTTAAAACCCTTCCAGGCCTCATCCTAATTTTTAGGCAAGGCAACCATCTGACATTTCTTTCAACCTTTCTTCCCATTTTCTTCTCATGGTACAAAATTGCAGGAAATTGAAAGGACCTTCTCACCACTGTGACTCCAACTAGAATGCCTTACATGCTTCATTATCTAAATAGCTCTTAAACCTCCTTCAAAAAGCAGCTCAGGTTTCTCCATCTCTAGGAAATCATTCTTGAATCTACAGCGCATGTTGAATGCCTTTTGCATTTGGCTGCATTGTCCTGTAATCAATACCTTTATGACCAGACTAGCTTCCCCAGAATAGACATGTTCTGGTCTGATCACTTTTCAAGCTGGGTGGCCTCTATACCCAGCACAGTCCCTGGGCAGAGTTGGGTATAATTGTTGAATGAGTGAATAAATAAATAAAATGTTTGAATAAATGAATGGCTCAATCACTCTGTCATCAGTCAATCTACTACTCCCCATGGTCTCAGGCTGAACTGAATTCTCTGTTAGTGGAAACTTACTCTGGGACCTTTATAAGGCACTTAGAGAGCCAGCTGAATCAAATATAATCAAATTATAATCAATTTACTCCTCTGTTCTCTAAAATTAGGAGCATGGGAATGAATATGTATGAACATGTATAATTATAGACACTTACACACATAAATTATCTGGCAGGGCTCCTGGTGCTGCACTCCTAGGAGTGAGATGCTTGTCTTCACTGGAGAGCTCTCTCCAGAGCACCATACTCCAAAAGCAAAGTGGCTAAAGACTCTCCCCACTTTTGTAATGTTTTCATTACATGTTCTTTGATAAGAACATTGCATGTTCTCTCAAAAGCATCTGAATCCTCCAGTGATATTTCTGGGTGGAGTAGATCTATAAGGTTAGGGGAGATGAAATGTGACATTGCTGGTTTTGAAATTTCATCACATACCCAGAAAACTAAATGTTCCTCTTGCTGGTCTTCTTTTCAAAGAATTAACTGATAGCACTTACCAAGTTCTCCATTGTTTTAATTATTATAAAGAAGACAAAAAAATTTTTTGCTTGTGGTGTCATATGGAAACTCTGGATTGGGGATATTCTGTTTCTTAAAAAAGTTCTTAAGGAATTCATACCATGTGCTAAATCTAAAGGCTAGTCATTCATAGTTGCAGAAGTCTCCAGACTGTGAGCAAGGTTATGGATAATTCTATCCTAACAATGGTAAGAGTGTTGAAAAGTATGTGTCCTAAATGTTGGGGAAAGATATCTGTCACCTCTGTAGGATCAATCATGTGAAAAGAACAGACTTTTGAAACTGAAAGATACTGGTTCAAATTCCAGGTCCGTGACTTACTAGTTGTATAAACTCAAGCAAATTAAGTAACTGTCTGAGTTTTTCATTCCTAGTCTATAAACAAAGACAAATAATAAATATCTCATGAGATTGCTTAAGAGATTAAACAATATAGCATATGTAAAACATCAAGCAAAATTCCAAATATTTAGTGAGAAATTAGTATTAATATTCCCTCTCATCTCTCTCTCAGGTAATTACTAAGTTAAAAACTTAGTGAGTATTTAAGTACTTTGGTGAGTACTTAAGTATCCAGTTCTTGAAATTAAGTGATCCACTGAGAGAGAATATGATTCATTTTAAACTATAATGTAGTCTCATTCAGAACAACAAAACTTCCACATAAAAGGCATCTAAATATTACTAAAGATCAGGCAGTTAGTCACAACAGGAACCCTGACATCTCTCTCCTGGTCTACAAATTTTCTTCAGTTCTAAGGTGAATGATAAGCTATTCTGTAGCAGACTTGGGTTTGCAATAGTGAGGATGTATGGTAGTTATCAAGCTTTAATAGAACTTGATATGCAAATGACAACTAGAGCTTTACAGGAGTTTATTGGCAACTATAATTCAGTATTCTGCCAAGTCTTCCTGCACTACAGTACTTGGCGACTCTCCGCAACCCTGTGGATTTTATATGTGAAGATCATCAGTAACGTAGTAAAATAGTTATCCATGTGTTTATCAGTGCTTTCTTCAGTAGGTCACAGTTTCCATTTGCTGACATTCCTACTTATCAGTATGGAAATGTTATGAGTTTTATTATCAATTGAAGTTGGCTTTAGATATTTTTTAAACCTACCATACAGAGTGGTATATATATTTATCAGGATTTTTGATCAATAATTTTCAAATAATCAGGGTTTAAATTATATTTGCAAGTAGATTATGTACCACCAGGCTCCACTACTAAAAGATAGATGTGCATTTTCCCAAATATGCTTGTACAGTTACATTTCTTCTGTAGTTAAACAAAGATATTTTTTCCTCCTTTTGAAGCAGAACAAATGAGAAAAGTGTTTTGTTGTGTGGGCTTTGCGTCATGTAGCAAGGGCTTCCCTAGTGGATCAGATGGTAAAAAAAAATCTGCCTGCAATGCGGGAAATCAGGGTTCCATCCCTCGGTTAGGAAGACCTCCTGGAGAATGGAATGGCAACCCACTCGAGTATTCTTGCCTGTTGAATCCCATGGACAGAGGACCCTGGCAGGCTACAGTCCACGTGGTCCCAAAGAGTCGGACACGACTGAGCATGAAAGTGAACACTTTCACTTTCAGGTAGCAAATGTGAAAGTCCCAAACAAAATGTTTGATAGATGCTGGCCAACAGGATACCCACAGTATCAGCAGTGGCCACAGG